AATTGTAAAGGGACATAATATAAGGTATTGCTGTTCTGACAAAATGTGTACGCTTTTAAAGGCAAGGTCAAGTAGTTAATGAGTTTGCGAATAGTATATACTGTAATAGAAAACATATAAAGATAATACTGCAATCCAAATACACTCTGTGTTATTTTGTTTTGCCTTTATGTACTGTATAAGTAAATATTAATGCGTCACAAAAATTTGCGAATTTCAAAAATTGATCTTTTTGCGTGCGAACATATTTGCGATAAAAGGATTCATTGAATTTAATACACTTCTTGTGATATCATTAATAACGCAGGTATATGGCAAGAATATATCGTTATTGTACTCGCTCTATTCAGTTGTTTAATGCCTTTAATATGAAATATATATCGTTAATTTGATAAAGGACTTGTTCACACATTGCTTCGTCATATTTTGAAACATTATTTTGTTATATGAATAACCTGTTATGTTATTAAAGTATACAATGTTTCCTTTAAACATGTGTGATACGGTACGACCAAATGTAAACATGCAAGAAATGAGAAAAATATACCTCAGTACCTGACCAGTCAAACTTATTCATATAAGATGCTGTTTAAGAAAGTGTTAGATAGAAGAATGTTTGCATAATAAGAAATAATATTTGCGTGATCAAATATTTGCGAATGATTTCAATGTCAAAAAATGAACCACTTATACAGTACTTGAAATTATGAATAGCAATGAAATTTAGTTTTACACGCTACTGATCGATCGTAGTATACGATTATTATATTTCAATCCGAAAACTATAAGATGCGCTTTTTCTACTTGTATGACTGTTTTGCATAAGGTTTTTTGTATTAGATATTTACGCAAAAAAGCGAAAATTTTCAATCAAAATTCAACTTTATCAAAAATGTCATGCACTGATCCTAGGTAATTTAACGCAGTAAACATTATAAGAAAGTGTACGCAGATAATTTCTGTGATATACGAAATGCCGTGATTATGACAATATATTGCAAATGCACGCTACTCATTTAACCATTAACCAACTTTCAAAATGTTCACTATAATATGATGATAATAATAAGTTGAGTTCAATTTATAAGTAATAAACTAATTCACGTATAAAATATGAATGATGCAATATAATAACATAAATGAAAATAAAAAAAATACATTATGCCGTGACTGAGATTATGTAGTAAAATAAAAGTTTCTCATACAATACATGTGAACCTTCAAAGCTGTCTACATAGTAGTCGAAACTCAGGCATATAGATAGCGCAATCAAAATATTACTTGCGTACGTTAATTTGTGTTGAATATACTTTATTCGATATCTTCTTATGCTCTTTAATTGCTTATATAAAACATGGAAAACATTCATATCTCAAATTAGGACAAACTTTATGGTGACAGTTGAAACATTTTTAAAAAAATAAACACAGACACCAAATTAAAACCAAAACGTTGAAAAAAAAGATCATCTTGACATGATATCGTCAAATCACTGACTCTTTAAACACACTCAATAGAGTATTGTTGAATGTATTTTATACAAAAATGTGAAAACAACCTAACCTTACTTTGCATCAAACAAGAACGTCAAAGTGTTTCATTTGGAACAGATATTTAGGAAGTACACTTCGTTTCGAATATATGACAAATGTTTGTAACACCGAAAAACTATGTTGAAAATGTCCTCAATCGATGTTGGTAGAATAATTTTGTGTTAGCATTTCGCGTATGTTAAATGTCTGTCATATGCTCCATAACATATGATGACTGTTGTTGCCTTATCTAAATAAAACAATGTAAAATATGTTGTATTTTTGTATTATTAAATTAGGTATGGCTTTTATTTATCTATATATGGGTAATGCTATTTTGATTCGGATTTTCAAAAGAGCTTAACTAATTCAATTTTATTTGGCAAGAAATTGTATATTTTAAGAACTAATTATAAAACTTAATAACGGACATATAATCAGCAATCAACATTTCTTAAATTTTAAGTAAAATCCGTCATTAATTTAATTAAATGTAATATAAACGTTATAACATACTAACATTCAGAAAACCTTACTTTAAAATAGTACAATACGTATCACCTAACAACGTGACTTTACTCATGTATTTCAATCAGCACCCGTTTAAATAAAAATACTCAAACTTTTAAAAGTCTCTATCATTCTATCTAAGCATTGTGTTCTCTGTTTAAGCTTACAATTGAATGGAAGCTAATTCAAATATCTGTATGTACATTAAAATAAAATCAACGCATTGAGTGTAATTTTACTAGCTAAATTAAAAAACTAAGTTTGAATCGCCCTCTAGTATAATTATCATTCAATATATATTATCAAAACGCTTGTTGGGTCACAGGTCACTGGACACAGGTCACAAGTCAAAGGTCACAGGCAACAGGCCCAATTACAAATTGGGTCAGACCCAAAATTGCAGGATAATCAGATCCCGCTTTGTCTGCATGAAATGCTGATTTATATAGGTATACATATTATACTGAAGATAAACAAATACTTTTTGTGCGCATTCAATAGTCCTATCACCTTTCTTTGAGGTATGTCCCATTATATAGGTTTAAAACTACAGCCCCAAGTATTTTGCGACTTTAAGTATATATATATTAAATAAAGTACAATATTAATAGATTTTATATACCACGAATTTAATTTTAATATAAATTGGCTCAAAATAACACAGACATTATCGATTTTATGTAAGACATACATTTCAATTTTATTGATATACAAACACAGCTTTGATTTGAAGTAATCTAATTACTCAATAGATGTTTACCTTAATAAATAAATCCATGCACATCGAGTTGAAAAAGTATCATATTCAATATATTGATTCCTTATTGCATTTAAGTATACATAGACAGATATCCGCCCTGCATCTTACATATATTTGTTATTCAAGACCAGAAATAAGTTGATCATTTGAACGTGTAATATAGGTTTAAAATTGCTGAAATTAATTTATTCATTTTTATTGATAAGCACCAGAAAAAATGCAATGTTTTATGCCAGCACGAAAGAGCAAACTGATTTTAGAACAATGAATTGAATCGTTAACGGCTGAACTATATTTTTTTGATAATTTTCTATCATTTGTTTTAGATATCTACTTATTAAAAGCTGTCCATTCATGACAATTGCACTTAAGATAAGATGTTTAAAGAGAAAAATGTCAAGGGATATAATAGAAAAACGTGAAATGATGAAATTGCAAATTTAGTCCAGTAAAAGAAAAACATCCACTCTGACTAATTCCAACAAAATCTTTAGTTATACAACACCAAAGTATATTTTGTAAATGTTCTATACAAAAAAGTTGCACGTTGCACTCATTGGCAAAACAAAATAGAATCAATTTTAAAACCTTTGTGTTTTCTTATGACGTCCATGGCGTGCAATAGTCAGTACTTATCGGAGTTTGGGGTAAAATGACACCATAAAGTAAATGGCGGCTTATGTTTGAAAATCTAAACAAAAGTTCCCGAGAGGCACTCACAACATGATTCATCGATGATTCATCGCTAATTCAACTTTGGTAAGTCACATCTATGCTTATTTTCATAAAAAAAATGTAAATTTGTTTTAGTGCGCTTTTTGTCTGCACATTTTGTTTTAAAGTCTGTTGCCAACACTGAATTTCTATTAAAATAAATATGCATATTTTACGATACGAAATGTATTTAGTTGGCTGTAAAGACTACACACTGGAGCTAACAAATATAATGTCCGACGAATGAAGAAAATTCCACTATATTTGTGTAGAAATAAAGCTTTTGGAAAAAACTATCGTGTCCTAATTATTGCTATTTAAATAGAAAATTGCATTTAAACATAAAGTTATTAAGCGCCTTTGTGTATGTTTTGACTTCAAATTACTTGTTCATGTGCCATGTCATGGTATATGCATTTTCTATCAGTGCTGGTGACTATAACCAATTTTCATCTCCCATTAAATGGAATTGAACTCAACATCATATTCTTGATTTTAGCTGACAAACTTAAAGAAGGTATATTATTCATTGACCTATGTATATCACATTTTCATATCTTTGCATTGAGCACTGAATTGTTCTAATACTACAGAAACACTGTTGTTAAAATGTTAAAATCACATCTAGAGAAAGAATGCAGCATTGTGATCTTTTGTGATCAAGTAAATATTTAATTGTGATCACTTTTCTCCAGCTGAGAGAGTTAGTATGAATTACCATTGCGTACACACACACTCACACATAATCATGTTTATTACAAATAATTACAAACTCTCGTGGATATTAAATTGATTGTCTAATTGAAACGCGGAAACAGAGGCAATCTAGGAGGAGGCGTGGACGATGCACGAGTTAAGAAACGTAGTTCAAGTTCGAAGATACTTATATGTATGTAAATCTATTGAAACGAATGCCAGTCAAATATGAGTGATGTGTTGTGAAGGATGTATAAAATTGACAAATGTATCACTGTGATTGAAATTTTGAAAATGGTTAACTGTCTTAAGTATAAAACATGCATCTCTTGGCCTAGCCTGGGTTCCAGTCTGTCGATTTTATGTTATGTTTCTGTTTGGCAAATCGACAGCCTGGAGAAATCCAATTTCCGACTGTAGCGCCACCTAGTATACACCCGGAAACTTCGGGGTGTGATTTCAAGAACGATAACTCGAGCCGCTACAAACTAGTTTCTAAAAATAGAAACGGAATCCCAACGAAGTAATCCGAAAGTAAACGAACAGTCACGGAGCCTCGCTTTCATATCAGCACCATTTCCGATTGAAAATTGACATATTTTACACTCGACAACAAATTAAATTTATCAGTTTATTACATGATGAATGAATTTGATGAACACGTTAGATTAGTCAAAGATAAATTCCGTGTTAGTGAAGTCAGAGAGCACCAGAGAAATGTGTTGGAAGCAGTATATAATGGAAAAGACGTATTTTTGACGGTTCTGGTAAATCGGTGTCGTATGAAACGAACGGGAAAATCTGACTCTATGGTTATTGTTGTTAGTCCATTGACAGCGTTAATAGACTCTCAAATTGAAAAACTGAAAGCATGCGGACTTTGTGCTATCCACTTGACCAGTGAAGTAGAATCCATTCCACCACAATGCAAATACTTATTTGCCAGTCCAGAAACCCTTTTGACAACCAACAGACATCAGCTCCTGACACCGAGGGTACAAAACTCACTTGTGGGATTTTTCATTGATGAAGGACATTGTATTATCAAGTGGTAAAGTATAATACTTATCAAGTTAATTTGACATATTGAATTTATTTTCACAATTTTGATCTGCACTGTTCAGAATATCATTAAAGAAATATATAGAGTAAGTTGTACACTCATACTGCTAGCACGAAGTTCTGGCCATCATGTACATGTATGGGCTTGCCTATACACACTGGAGAGGCTGGTCATATGGCATTAATGATAAGCCAATTATAAAAAACAATAATGAAGTTAGTGACTTGGGAGTTTAATTATACATAACATTATTAAAATTTATAATATATACGGGTGATGTTTGGCTATTTTAAAGCATAATTGTTTTATAACTAAAGAATATCAAAATATATTTTCTATATACTTATAATTTGAGCTACCACTGAAAATTGACTAAGCTTATGAGAAAACAGCTTGCAGCACAACAGCTTTTAATTTCAGGTTTCACTGTGTGAGCTAACATTTTTTATATATGAACTACAATTCTGTTATAAACGTTTTTCAGGGGAAAGAATGATGCTAAAACAAAGAAAGCCTTTAGAGGACATTACGCACGCTTAGGGGAGGTAAGATCACTGCTTCCAGCATCTGTACCTTTGGTAGTAATGACTGCAACTGCCACTGCTGCCGCAAGACGAGACATTGTCAAACTGACTGGAATGCACAACTACGCAGAAGTCGTGTTGTCGCCAAACAGAAGGAATATTAGGTATTCGGTCGTTCATCTTCCGAAATTTGACCTATATGCTGCTTTTAAGCACATAATTGATGATATCGAGGATAATAATACATCAGCAGAACGTGTTATTGTGTACTGTAGAAAGAAGGAACATTGTAGTGACTTATTTGAACTATTTTCTACAACACTTGGAGAGAAAGGGTTTGCAAATGGGACATTTGGGGATGACAGGACAAGGATGTATGCCATGTTTCATTCCAAAACACAAGATGATGTGAAATCTTCTGTGCTAAAATCCTTTTCTGAAGAAAATGGACATGTTAGGGTTGTGTTTTGTACCGTAGCATTTGGTATGGGAATTGATGTTAAAGGAACATATTGTGTGGTTCATGTTGGACCGTCTAATTCTATTGAGGACTATCTACAAGAGAGTGGGAGGGCTGGCCGTGATGGCAAATCACAGTCTCATGCAGTTCTCATCACTTATCCACGCTGTACATCGGGAAATGTGAGCGATGAAATGAAAGATTACTGCAAAAATACAGACTGTAGAAGAAAAAGATTGTTAGAACCATTTAATTTTGTGGAGGACTACAGTGACATGGGGCATAAATGTTGTGATTTGTGTTCTAGCTCATGTGACTGCTTAGACTGTTATCAGTGTACATCAAGTTTAGAAAAAAGTCTAAGGACAATGTTAAGTACAGAAAGTGCAGAAAATATTATTCATCATGTGACACCAAGTCAAAAACTAGATATGCAGTCAAAATTACTTGACTATAGAAACACTTTAGTTGATGAAAGAACACTATTTCATGGTATTGACATTAGTACAGGATTTACTAGGGCATTAATTCATGATGTTGTTAAGAACGTAGGCATTGTTTCAGGTCCAGATATACTTAAGGAAAAGTTTAATTTCATATGTCAGGAACATGTCATTGAAACATGGAACATTCTGTGTGAAATTCTAGAAAATGACTCTTTGTCAGACTCTGAAAGTGTTGGATCCTCGAGTGATTCAGATACAGAAACAATTACAAAGCATTTTAGACGTAGACCACTGATACTGAGTTCTGATTCTGAGTAATTGTATAATGACAAATTTGTATTTGTCTTTATTAAGGCTAAGATCATAAAATCTTTAAACATTTTGTTGAAGGCTAATGTTTTTCAGCTCCTATTCAGCTGTGTAGAGTATTTTATACTAGAGCTGTCATTAATCCATTGCAAAGCATATCGACTAAACATCAATATCAGATGACAAATATCAGTGATACACTGATATATTGATATATACTCGTAATTTCTTGTATATAATTCACTTTTATACCTGTTTAAATAATTTTATTAAATTGAGCCGTGTCATGACAAAACCAACATAGTGGGTTTGCGACCAACATGGATCCAGACCAGCCTGCACATCCGCGCAGTCTGATCAGGATCCATGCTGGTCGCAAGCACATTATGTTGGTTTTGTCATGACGCGGCTCATATGTTCTGTTCATGTTGTGTCCTGTTTATAAATTGCATTTGTATGATTTTTTCCTAATATTTTTTTTTGTGATCACTGCTATGAAATGTGTCCATTATGTAACAGCAGCTTAATGTAAGACATGGCCACCTGCTTTTGTATATAATTACGGTGAATTTTCATAATTCATAGACATTAAAATAATTAACCAAAATTATTGATTGTTCAAATGAGTATCAATTATTAATCGACAGAAAGGTTTCAACAATACATCAATATTGTCTCTATTTAATGACAGCTTTATTTTATACTGGTATCTGTACATTATGTGATGTTTCAATATTAGAATTGTTTGTGTATTTTTACTGTGTAAGGTGGTAAATGATTACATGTAAATATACATTTTGTAAATTGTGAAAGTAAAAATTTATTCCAAAGACTTGGTTCAATTCTACTTTACATGTATCTTAGAAAAGAAATATGTCCTGGCAGTTTTGGTCGTGAGATGTTGTACAGGTGATGAAATTATATTGGCCAAATGAAAACCTTATTCTGATAAACATTTTTGGACGATAGTTATTCAAGATTAAGGTAGTTTCACTGTAATGCTTTACCTTCAAAATAAATCTAACATAGGTCAACATCGTAACAAATCGATTATTTGTAATTTCATTAATTTAATCACTCTTCCTTTATCCCTATGTACTAAATTCTGGTTAAAGGTGGTTTAAAATTATTGAATACAGAAGATTATAAAAAATAACATTCCAGAAATGACTGATTTACAATATTGGCCGATGTTAGATTTTTTTTGGCGGAAAAGCATTCAGTAAGACACATTCATGCATGTTAGGTAATGCCGAAATTGCAAGATGAACAAGTTCATCATACAAATAAAAGGCGACAATATGGACTTCCAACAAACAAGAGAACATTTTCACATAAAATAGAAAAGCAAATACAATTCTGAACAAATTATAAAATTTTAATCATCAATGCATAAAAATGTCATCATTGTTTTACATTATACAATCTAACAATCAGTTAATGTGTAAAAGTAAAGTACAGAGACATTCTTTGTTCACAGTTAAACATCCCTTATGGAATGACATACTATATAGTAAGTTTTGTATCATATAAACCACTATACATGTAGTTGCAATGAAGGCAGAAATTCAATGATATGCATTTTCATCGAAACAAAACGGATAAATAAATAAATAATGGATGAGTATTTTGGAAAAGTTTTGTGACATAAAAACAAATGATGGAGTAGTGATCCCTTTATGTCACCAGTATGTTGTAGTGGTGACACAAAATTAAACAAACCATTACTGGTGTTTAAATAGCTAAGTGTCTGAAGTCAAAATATCATTAATGTGTGGGTGACACATTTTATTTCTAAAACAACAGATCTATGGAGGCCCATATACTGCTCATCTGATTATATATACTTTTTTAACAAGAAACAATCAATAGTACAATCAATAGTGTTAGCTATAAATGAACATCAGATATCATATAATGTCATAATTTCTATGTGAATTGATATAACATTCATATATCCACACCTGAAATGGTGCAAATGTAAACAAGAATTTTCCATATGTGGACAATAAACAACAAAAATCTTTCTGACTCATTTACCGGATATTTGGACTAAAACAGTAGCCTTAATATAATATAAGGTTTTTCCATATATTCCAGGATATTTGTACTGAAACATTTGAGCATTAAAAAGATTTTGTATTTTTGGCTACTTTTTTTATCCGAGATGACCCTTGTCTGAACTCGTCCGAACAATTACTATTAGAAACATCCACACCAAACTGATAATTGAGGAAAAAAATGTGATCTTTTAGTGATTAGTGATCAAGGTGTAAAGAAACTAAATATGGGCAGATAACAGACATTTAATGATCCTTAAAGTCTACCAGCTCATGTGAACCAAAATAAACTTCACGTCATTCAATGTACTGAATATAATTCATTACAGATTCCATCTGTAAAACAGTAATGCGATAAAAACTTTTTGAATAAAATAAATACAAGCACTTAGTTTTTTCTTTCAAATAGACTATGAACATTACACAACACTGGTTTTAACAGCACTTTCAACACCGGTACTCTAATAGCAAATACAATTTTATGATTTTA